CCCCAGGACAAAAAAAAAAAAAAAAAAATCATTAGAGCTGAGACTAGGAACAACCCAAATGTCCACCAAAAGAATGAATAAACTGTATAATCTAAATACTACGCAGAGTGAAAAACTATTAGCTAATGCTGTAACAGGTGAAATTCACAGATACACTGAGCAACAGCAGCCAGAATGAGAATGTTTATATGACTCCATTTCAAGGGAAATGCAAACCTAACCAATGATAACAGAGGTTAGAATAGTGGTTAATTTTGAGGGAGGCAGTAACTGAGAAGTTGTAGGATTTCTGGATGCATCTTTTGTTCGTTTTGTATGTAAAAATACACTCTACATATAAGCTACATTTATTATTTATTCTTCTATGTAACTTGTATTTCAATTAAAATGCTTACTGTGGTGTGGCCTGCACACCTAAAATCCCACCTATTCAAGACACTGAGGCTAGCGTGGGCAACATAGTAAGATCCTATCTCAAAAATTATAACAGAGACAAGCATGTATGTTCAGCAGTATAATGTTTGCCTAGCATGCATGAGATCCTGGGCTCAATTCCAAGTATCACCAAGAAAAAAGTTTATTGCAGAAAAATGGCAAGATAGATATAGATATTCAATAGTGGGTGAATATTATCACAATATACCAAAACCAATGGTAATCATATATATTTTGTTTGTTTGTTTGTTTGTTTGTTTGTTTGTTTAAGACAGGTTCTCACTATGTACTTGAGACTGACGTGGAACTCACTATGTAGCCCAGGTTGGTCTCAAACTCACAGTGATTCTCCTGCCTCAGCCTTCCAAGTTCTGGGATTACAGACGTGCGCCACTATGCCCAGCAGTAGTCAAATTTTTAAACAATGATGAAATAGAAAATGTTCAATACAGTTTTCAACAGAACTGAATTTACTGTTATCCTAGGTTTTTCAGAAGATTCGTAAGAGAAAAGTAACTGGAAGGAAAATAAGTGATGGTGTTTAAATTCAGGTGTTAGGATTAAGGAAATACTTCTTTTCTTCATTCATGTCTTTATGTATTTTTGTTTCTACAATAAAGGAAAAACTATTTTTAAGATATTAACAACTGGCCACATGTGGTGGGCACACCTGTAATCCCAGAACTCAGGAAAGTGAGGCAGGAGGGTTGCTGTGAATTCGAGGCCTGCCTGGCATACATAGTAAGTTCAAGGACAGCTTGGACTATACAGCAAGACCATGTCTCAAAAACAAACAAATGAACAAATAAAAAACATTAACAACTTGCCAGGTATGGTGGTGCAGGCCTGTCCAGGGAAGCTGAGGCAGGAGGATCGCTGTGAGTTTGAGGCCAGCCTGGGCTACATACATCAAGACTCTTCCTCACTTGAAATAAATAAACAGCCATGAAACATTAAGAGAATGTCTTAATCTTAATCAATTTACCCATGAAAATCTATCTTAGTGGAGGATGTGTAGCACTAAAACTGCTGAACTAGAAGCAAAAACACAAGAAACAATCAGAAACTTGTTTTGGTATTTCATTTTCGTTATATGGTCATTGTGTTTCATTTTCTTTGAATGGTCATAGTGAGAAACAGTGTCATCTTAAGTCTGAAGCGTCATCATAAAGCTGTATAATTGTTCTAACACTTGTTCAGTTTTGTTGATGAACAACACAAGTATGACAAGGTAAAAATCCAGACAGGATCTAACAAGTGAGGTATATCAAACATTGGCCCTGTTGTTGTCAAGGTTTCTAGGTGTGGTTGCAGCTCAGTATAATAAGATTGTTTACATCTGAGTCAGTCACCCACTCTGTCTGCATCCCTCCTTGCACATCAGACATGGGCATAAAACTCTACACATAGCAAAAGTCTGAGTAAAACTGAGTAGATTTTAGGAAAGTGATTATTCAGGAATAACAAACCTTTTCCATTTAGGAGGAAAAATTAAGACAAGGAAAACTATTACCAAAATCAATAAATCAATAAAGATTTTTTAAAACTTAAATTTTTTAACGTTTATGAATTCCAAGAAAAATGCTGCTTTTATAATTCTATTTGAGACTTTCTAGTTTGCCCTCAGTGTATGTGTATGCCATCTGTGTTCCTTTCTTTTGTGAACTAGAGATTAGAGATAGATTCCAGAAAATTCCTTATTTAGAAAGGTGTCAAGCCCGGCGTGGTGGCTCACCCCTGTAATCCCAGCACTCAGGAGGCTGAGGCAGGAAGATCACTGTGAGTTTGAGACCAGCCTGGGGGTCATAGTGAGTTCTAGGTCAGACCCAACTACATAGACCCTGTCTCAAAATGAATGAATGAAAGGAAGGAAGGAAGGAAGGAAGGAAAGAAGAAAGGTGTCCACTGCCAATCACAAATATTGTCCAGGTTAACAGATTTTTGGAACTCCAGTCCAAAATTTATGGGAATATGAAATGCTGCAATAAACTACACTATAGGATTAAACATTTTCTATTGTACTTCTCTTATCTTCCTCTGTTCTTCAAACAAACTGCAACCATGGATAAAAAAAAAAACTTTCATTCTGTAAGGATATCAGTTCTTTTCATACAATGATGCAAATTTCAAAGCAGAGTTACAATTATTACTAACACCCTAAGCACGTTAGTTTTCTGTCTTTGGGGCGGGGGAGGGTGGTGGTGGTGAGAAAGTTTCACTTCAGTATGGCTTAGAACTCACTACATAGCCCAGATAGGTCTTGAACACACACCAATCTTACTGCCTCAGCCTCCTGGGTGCTAGGATTGCTGCGGTGATAGGTGTGTACCACTACGTTGAGCTTACCTACTATAACAAAAATGCTGAGTACAATGTTTTGGGCATTTTCTCCATTTTTATAGGTAAGGATGGGGCTAATAGATAAACTAACCTTCCTCTACAATAAGCTTTGGCCCAGCTGCGTGAGGAGCTCACTGCTCCCCCACCACCGGCACCTTCATCAGAGCAGACCAGTGAGGGCTACCCAGCCACACGGGCGCCTCTGCAGCATCCCCCCACCCCCCTTGTTCTGGGGCCTCCTGGTTGTGCCGGTACCTGGATTCACACTGCAGAGGTACAGGTGGTCATAAAGGCCACTGTCCTGAGCTCCAGAAGATAGAACAGAAGTGAACAACTGCAGTAAAGGCACACAAGACTCCAGCAGTTGGTAAGTCGGGGGAATCACCACCTTCCATCAGAACTTGGACTATCTTCAGGAAAAGGGCAGCAGTAATCTGGAGTAGATCCTTGCAGAGTTCAACCCTGCAGGAGGTCAGGGAGCTCAACTTGGGCCTTCAGACAGAATTCAGCCTG